CGGCTCTTCTGCTGCTTAAATGTGTTAAATTAGGCTCCACAGTTTTATTGCCCTAAGAGCAAACAAACTTACTAAAGAATGTATTGCATCTTGTGAGTTTAACTGGGATATCCCAGTTTGGAGGTTTATCCTAGTTTTGATGACATCTGGGATATGAGATTTATGTGCAACACAGACAAATCTGGTTTTGCATGTCCCTGTACACATTGGCAAATATTAGTATCCTTTTTGCTAATTAGTGCTTGGTATTTGCACAGGTGCCTGTGATGTCTGTAAACATACACTGTTAGTTTTGGAAGTGCTGACAAAATCTGACATTTGGAAGACTAGCATCCTGCAATCTATTTAGAGACTTGTCGGCATCTAGGTACAATCACTCATCCAAAGTAAAAAGTATATTACATTGTTTTTTATTACAAAAAGTGAAAAGAAATATGCATCTTTCCATGCTTCAAAAGTAAGGCTCTATTACTGAGCCTTATACTGTTTTATATCAATTGGCTATAGTGCCCTCCCAGATAGTTAACAGCATGCGCTTTGGATATACACAGCACATCCAGCCTTATCTGGATTTTGAGCTAGAGCTAATCCATTTAATATAGTACAGTTGTGATGTAACGTATAAATGTGCAAAGTTAAAAATAAGATGGGTTAACAAATCATGAGAGGGACATGTGTGTACATATATCTGAACGAAATGAATGCTTTAAACCAAGAAACACCAAAATGCAGTTGTAATGAGGTGCAATGAGCTACACTTGGCAGAACAGGGGGAAACGACATGATGTTCGTTTGTAAGGAACACAGATTAGTAGGGGCATACATGGGATTTTGAGAGTTTTCATGAGTGTTGTGTTTGGGCAGACATGCCTTTTATCCTCTCTGTTAACTGATGTAAGCTAGAGGCTGGCAAGCAGAAATCTGGGTCCACACTGACAAGGCATCATTTAAGTCTTGATTTTTCGAGTGTGCCACATCTTTTAATAAACTCTTGCATTCAGGGACAGTATAGAAGTTAAAATTACATCGGAGACAACAATATCTGTCTTCTGTAAACAACACACGTATGACAGGCCAAAATGAAAATGTGAATTTATTGCTGCTTGAAGCTAAAAGGCAAAAATACATCTTTGCCAACACTACATTCAAGCAACTTTACCAGAGATGTCCCAAAAGAGACATTATCTCAGGAAAAATATGCCACTAATATCCCTCCATCTGTTCAGTGTACGAGTATTACCATTGGAAGGACATATACTGTAGCAAATTTAAAGCATGAAAATGGCCAATTACCAAAAGAAAGCCATGGTTATAGAGATAACGACTTGATTTTTTTTAAAAAAGGAAATGGATATAATATATTCATCTATCCTAGGAATACCAGGTAAAATAAAAGTGACCAGCTCTTTCCCATTAGAGACCCGTCACTGGTGGAATGATTTGCCTGTGGACATCAGAATGGCAAATTCTTTATTGCCTTTTAAATCCCTGCATAAAACATACATTAAAATCAAAGAGCTTTTATTTCATCATCTCTGTCTTTTTTCCCTAATGCCTCTTATACGATCATTGGTTAGTTTGCACAGGTGTACTTTGAATTCCTATTTAAATGAACAATAACTTAACCAAGCAGAATAAATTAATTTCCCCCCCACTTCTCTTTTTTTTCCTACAATTAAGTCATAACAAATATGCAATAAAATGGCTTTAAAGTGAACAGCTTGTGATTCTTAAGACAACTGATAAAAAAGGAAGCGAGTGACATCCTGTCTTTCTAAGAATCTGTAGAAAGTGAACACAGTCAAAATGGAATAACAGATATCTCCAGAACGTACACACTGGGGCTGACTAGAATTTAATTCATTGCAAATGCATTTCAGCTGTCTTAAGAGCAGCAGACAGCCTTAAGGGACTGGCTCTGAAAATGGATTTTAAGCCTTCCGTGTGACATGTTGGTGCTCTGTGTTAGCACCCATTCTGACAAGGGTGGTTAAAATTACACCAACCCAGGAGAGTAAGAAAAGCAAATAATACTGCCACGTCTGTGATTCTCTGAGTTAATCTCTGAAAACTAGAGGGTTTTCTCAGTGTTTTTGTCTGAGTATTAATCACACAGAGGCGTGAGACCGTTTGGAATCATTTCAGAGTATTTTTTTTTCTATCTAGCTTTTGAAAATGTGAGTTGAAAAGAAGTCTTCTCAAGCTGACTAACCCTTTAACTGATAGCCAGATTTTTTTTAAAAAGAAAAAAGAAGGTTGAATTATACCGCACAGAGGAAAACAACTGCTGCTCACAATAGAATTTTGTTTGACTCATCAGAAATAAATCATAATCTTGTTATTTGGCGATTACTGAATGCTGACCAGTTTCAACTAAACTCAAAGCCCAAAGGAGGAAAAGCATAACTGTGATCAATGTAAAACAAATGATGCTATCCCAGTTTGACAATTAAAGGAAGAAAGACAAAAAGTTAGGAACTAAAAGATGCAAAGCTGTGAATTAAAAAAAACATAATGCTGATCATGTAGACTTCTTGTAGTGTGGTCCGGTCTTATATCTACTAGCCATTTGACATATGCAATAGTGTTGGAGATGCCTATTTCTTCCAGTATTGCTGAGTCACAGTTCTAGTTGGTCTACCCTTATGCCTTGTTCACCTTAAAGTAAAACTTACACCTTTTGAAATGCGCTGGTATGTGTATGTTCACCACAGCATTTACGTTGATGGTGAATGATCTCTGTTTGGTACTTTTTCACTTTTTAACTGGCGGTTACTTACCGAGTGTTTTTCAGACAAGTCGCCATCTTCCATGCAAACATCGGCTGAATGTACCAATATGCTATTAACCAAAGAAATGTTCTGCTAACCTTGGTTATAATGAGCTGTTAATTTAGTTATTGTTGGCTTCCTCCAGCTTAAACTAGTCTGGCCATTTCCCCCTGACCGCTGGCTTCAACAAGCAGATTTTGCCCAGAGTACTTCCGCTTAAGATGGATGGAAAAATTCCAGTAAATCAACAGTTTCTGAAATACTCGGACCAGCCAGTCTGGCACCAATAATCATTGCCACATTCTAAGTCACTTAAATCAACTTTCTTTCTCACTCTGATGCTTAATTTCAACTTCAGCAGTCTTGACCAAGTTTAGTGTATATGCACATACAATCTACGGCTGCCATAGATGCAGCATCAGCTGCTAATGTTGTGGGTGGAGTGGGTTTATTAATATGGATTCATTGTCAGAGTAACCAAATTAGTGGTAAACTGTAGGGAAAAACTGGCAAAGGGGGTGGGAGAATAACTTGATTTATGTAGAAACATGTTCATTAAAGTGCTGAAGTCTTCTTCTGCCTTGGTGAAGTCTGCCAGCCATGGTGTACATTGCTCCTTAATGACAGTGTCATGAATCAGCTTTTTTGTCATTCATCATTCGTAATCAGTGCCAGACAAATTACTGCAGGTTGTGTAATCACTGTATAATAAATGTAGCAAAAGTGTCACTAACAAGGTTTTAATGAATACTGTAAACAGAATTTTTTTGTTGGAGTAGCAACTGTATGTCTCTTTCAGTTGAAAGAAAAGGAAAGGTAAACAAGAAAACTGCTCTATACTGTTTGTTTCTATTCGACAAAAACAACCAAAAGACCTGTCGATTTATAGCCCCATCCAAGCTCTTAATGACTCACAACACCAGCCTCCAGCAATTGAGACGGCTCATCAGTTTAATTACTTTACAACTTGGGTCCACCCCTTTCTGTCTAAAACCTGGCACTGGAAGCATTGCCCTGCTCTTGTTAGTATTCCACAAGAAATTCACTTTTGCACTGCACTTTACAACGCTACATGTAAAATGTGACTAAGGCTTAAGAAGCAGAAAGGATGAATGGAAGACGGTGCCAACAACAGATTCATTCACTATCTATTCATATTCAATTTAAAAGTATAGCAGTGGTATGGAAAAGGGCTTAAAGAAGTAAAGTGCAGATACTACAGGACCATTTCTTGATTGCTCCAGTTGTGATTGTCATTACAGTAAACAGATTTCCTGATTTTATGTTAGTCTTTTATGAATTCTGTTTTTTCATTAAATTACTTGGACACATCATGTTAGCAAAGTGATATAAATACATTGATGGTAAGTCACATTGTTAGAAAATAAACTTATAGAAGTGATGACTGTTACCTTTAAAATTCTTAATGAGCATTTTTAGTAGGGAAAAGCTATATAAAAAGTTATGTTATCTATTTTTATTGGTGGGACGCTCTACTGGTCCATCGTGGTGAAACGAGAGCTGAGCGTAAGAGTGAAGCTCTCAAGTTACTGGTTGATCTACGTCCCTACCCTCACCTTTGGTCATGAGCTGTGGGTAGTGACCGAAAGAATGAGATTGAGGATACAAGCGGCAGAAATGAGCTTCCTCCGAAGGGTGGCTGGCCTCTCCCTTAGATATAGGGTGAAGAGTTCGGCCATCCAGGAGGGGCTCAGAGTAGAGCCGCTGCTCCTCCACATCGAAAGGAGCCAGTTTAGGTGGTTCAGGTTTCTGACAAGGATGCCTCCTGGGCGCCTCCTGGGTGAGGTGTTCCAGGCATGTCGGACCAGGGGAAGGCGCTGGTGCAGACCCAGGACACGCTGGAGAGATATCTCTCGGCTGGCCTGGGAACACCAAGGCCAGCTGAAAGAAGTGGCCGGGGAGAGGGAGGTCTGGACTTTTCTGCTTAGGCTGCTGCCCCCGCGACCCGGCCCCGGATAAGCAGAAGAAGATGGATGGATGGATGGTTTTTTATTTCATTTCATTTGTTGGCAGTTTGAAGGCTGATCTATATAGTTTCTCACTCTCTCTTGATTCATACTCCAAAATATGAAAGTGTTGGAGATATCACAGTTATATACAGTATAAAACACATGGAAAATGAGAAGGATTAATATTTGCATGAATGCATAAACGAAGGCTTGAATGTAGCATTAATAGTGTAGTGCAAGTCTACTACCATCTGCTTACCATGCACCCAGATGAGTCTAACTGTCGATCAGACACACACTTGAAATTCTTTTTGCAGCCACCATTATCTTTAGAGCAGTCACGGGCAGGTCCAAAAGATGCCAGTAGGTCCTCTACATTTTCAAAGTATGTGGACATCATGGCCTCTTCCCTGAAATTGAAGAAAGTAAGGGTTACAAGAAGAAAGTTCAGTTATCGTTGCATATGTTTTAACACTACAAATTGTTTTATTATTATTAGTCCTTTATTTATCCAGGTAAAAAATCTCATTTCCAAGAGAGACCTGGCATCATGGCAACAAACGTAAAAAAAAAATTAATTAAATAAAATTAAATTCAAATGAAAATGTATTTTATAAAATTATACTTCTCTCCTATTTTTCCACAATCAACTATAAATCCCATTATTGCAAAATGGAAGCATTTAGGAACCACAACAACTCAACCACACAGTGGCAGACCATGTAAAATCACAGGGCAGGGTTGAAACACTCTGCTTGTTCCAAATCCCCTCCAGCATTAACATCAGCTGAAAAACTGAGCGCCTGGAGCTTCATGGCATTGGTTTCCATGTCTTCTGTAGGTGTAATATGTAGGCGGCCCAGTACTTCTGTCCATATAATGTACCTGGGGCACTCTACCAGGTGAAGTACAGGACCACCGCTCTAACCTAATCACACAATTATTAGATATTTCACTCACAACCAGAAATGTCGAAAGATTTAAAAGATGGCCAAAGTAAGCAAGTTTTATCCACTGTATGCTATAAGTGTCTGACATGCAGACAGACAGACATTTCCATTCTTACATAAATGCCACTACCACGTTAACAAAACTAGAAAAAAAACAAACTCAAGTATGTTTTCAGGTCAGTTTGTGATGAAGTCTGACTTGAGATCCCCACATTTGCATATATATATGTGTCACTGACAGTAGTGCGATCATTTCCACTGCCAAATGTGGCACACCAAAGCTGCAAGCTCATTGCTCTGTGCAGTTTAGCATGCTCCGCCATGCCTATATGCTTTATGTCTACTATCAGAGGAAAGGAAGGGGCAAGCAAACCCCATGTTTTTGTTTGAAAGGAAACAAAGCACTATCTCTTGCAATGGGACCACAGGGACCACAGTGTGTTGTGAGGGTGACTTGACTTTAGAAACAGCAACAAGATTTTGAATGATAGGAAGACAGATGACTTGCTTTAGGAGGAGGATTGTGAAGTAATGTCACTACGGCTATCTTTCTGTGTCTTTGCATGTGTATTTAGGCACCATTGAATCAGTAACTGATACACTGATTTTACTGTTCACTGAATTAAAATGTCCAACATAAGCCATCTTTAAAGTGGGTATAAACCATCAAAAAGTAATTTATCTCTTGGAAGTGATAGTGAAAAAAATATGAGAAAAATACTACATTTGACCTTCACAACTTTAAGAGAAAATAAAATGCAAAGCCTCAAAAAAAATCTATGAACGTTCAATGAAAAGCATCTTATTGATGTAAGCGAGAATTTATGGACAAGATATTAGACACAGTCTACCCACCTTTTCACTGAGGCAATATGATTTCTTTTTCATAGCGTCTGCTATCAAGATTTGGAATAACTCTTTCGATTAAGGGACTGTTTAGGTTTAATAACTGTTTTCAATTTAGTTTCACTGTATGCTACATATGGAAAATAATTGGCACATTTTTCTCGTGGTGCAGTACTATGGTTCACTGACTGACACATTGGGACTGTCTACTTTGCAAATTTAAAATGTTTCTGACATAGTGTGGCAGTAGCAAATGACTCGCTGTCCTCACTGTCACACATACTGAATGTTAAATACAAAACTCTAGCAAAATAGCTCTAATAAGAAACCTGTTTTATCTAAACATCTTTGTCTATTTATTTATTTTTATTTATTATTTATTATATTTATTTTATTTGTTTATTTTATTTATTTTCTATAGGTGAAATCTAAATGTAAGGTATCTTTCCAGCTACATGCTGATCATTTTAATGTTCATATGGGGCGACCATGGTTCAGGTGTTGGGAAGCTCATCTTGTAACCGGAAGGTTGCCGGTTCGATCCCCAGCTCTGTCTGCCTTGGTCGTTGTGTCCTTGGGCAAGACACTTCACCTACCGCCTACTGGTGATGGCCAGAGGGGCCACAGACTGTAGCTACAACTGTAGCTTGCCTCCAGTGTATGAATGTGAGTGAGTGAATAAATAGTGGAATTGTAAAGCGCTATATAGTCCATTATTATATAATTATGTATACATATGGACCGTTTGATGTGAACTTTTACAGCAGCTGAACGTTTTCACATTTCTTTGTTTACTGGTGGTACATTTTCAGATATTTTGATGCTTATAGTCGTAGATAAGTATTGTAGCCATTGGAAGCAGTAATATCCACTGTCAGTCCTACGCAGCTGTCATTTATTTATAACACAAAGAAAACAAAAAGAAAGTTTAGGAACAGTATTTAAATGTGTTTTTAATTAGTTGACAAAAACACATGGGTTTGCCAAAAGTGACTTAATTTGTGCTATAAATTGAGCAAAGCAGTCGACTGCTATGAAGTTTCTTTTCTTTTGTCTACCTCGAGTACAAGAACGCCCACACATCCTGGATGCACATTTGAACGGAGGAGGACTCCATTCGAACAAACTTAGATCTCGTTCTTACAACGAAAGGTGCCTGAACTGCATCAACTGTTTCACTGTGGAAGAGTGGGATGTGAAAGCCAAGATATTTAATTGTTATTATCCAGAGAAAGAGCAGCAGGCTTGAAGAGGACCTCAATCTCAACTCTCCACATTGAAAGTTTAATTATTTTGGTTAAAAAAAGGATTATCAAGTGAGGGACAAAACAAAAACAAATAGAAAGTTAGAGCTTTGCCAAACAGTTCCAATATCTTTGAAGATTATGGTCAGGTTAATTATTTATAACTACTCCTTACTCCTTCTGGAGGGTTCATCGGGGTGTCCGTTTGGCCTTAGGCACAGGGACTCTGACGTATGATTCTCTGCACACTAATTATATACGCAGGTCCATGCAGTCTGAAAACCAACCAGGAAACAAGATGTATTTTTCTCTTTTACACACATTTAGTGTGCTGGAATTACTGAGAAAAAACTCTGGGACATGGTGTCACTAAACGTACTTCACATACCTAAAAGAACCTCACGTTGCCTTTTTGTTCATTTTTTTTTTCTTAAGCAATCTCTTTCTTAAGAAAAGCAGGGCAATGATTATCTTACAAGAAGGTCCACTGTTCCAGAGCCAAGGACCCTGCAAGTCAAACGGTGGGATCACTGCAACACCTAATCGGCAAAGAGTAGACAGCTGTTGTCATTGAGAAAATGGCAAGGAAGTTCGCCATTACAACATCGACTTTAACGACCCTTTGGGGAAGGTGCCTAATTTAGTGTGTGAAGTTGAGAGGTACCAACAAAATGCAGTTGGGCTCAACATTATTCACAGCTTTGGCTCTGGAACCAACTTCTTGATAGACGGTGGACTCGGTCCTACACAGGAATTGTCCATCGTGAGATTTGCCAGATCGATGTGGGTACTACTGACAAATCACCGGCTGGGTGCTGCACAGTTGGACTTTCTCCAGGTGGATGTGAGGGTCACCATCATGTGGCTGCATAATGCAGAGAGAAGAACTATTACAGCTGTTTGCGCATATGTGCTTATTTTTTGGATGGTAAGTAACAAGGATTTTCATGAACCAAAAATCCAGGCAAACAGTGGAGAAAGAGTTTGCCAAAGTGCAGCAGAAGCTAAATAGTATATTTATTTCATAATATTTTGGATGTTAAAAATTCATTTATGTATATTACAAATACTTAAAACAGCATCAAGAGTGCTATAAAGTTATATGTTACAGATAATTAAAACACTCTTGTTGACAGGGCCTGTTATCCTTGGATTGACGTTTCAGTTTGTAAAGCTTTGACATTTGAAACTGTAGTGGTTGAAGATATCTCTATAGCACTTTTTATGCAAGCATGTAAAGACGAACCTTTTTCCCCATCCACTAGACCCAGTAACCCTTCATTTATGAAATGTAGACCTTGCATAACATCACACTCATCTTTAGTGGGCAGTCTGGATTAAAGGGCATGGTTGGTTATTAATAAAAACTGAATTTGTTGGATGCACATGCCACACTCCTTAGCAGGAAACATGAGTCACCTTGGATACTAAAAGACGCTCTGCTTGTTCGGCTTTTGAGTGAACATGGTGTATATGCCTGAAAAAAGGGTAGTAGGTGCAGATACATGGTTTATTTTGTATACCGAATATATACAAGGTAGGGAAATAGAATTTAAATTTACATCTTGTATGCTTCCATTATGCAGCTCTATCTGCTAAACTGTGCAAAACTTTAGCCAACCCTGATTTATTTATGTTTCACTTGGAAAATAGGAAACAAGTGCAGCAGTTTCTTTATGATTTATTACTTACTGAAACATGGTCAAACATAAATTGGAATGCAGTATATAAGACAAAAATGAATTTGCATAATTCAAGCAAGTTTGAAAGTCAATATTTGGTTTACGCAATATATCCTGAACTCTCTTAGCCAAGCTTCTTGTAATTTCTTTAGGTATTCAGAAGCAGTTGTAAACACTCACTCCTCTACCTCTCTCATCACTCATCACTCCATTATACGTGTTGTCAGTGATTTTCCGACTAGTTTGGAATAGTTCAGTCTTTCCTCTTGTTCCTTTTGTTTCACTCCCTTAGCTTCTGAATAGCCACCTTTCCACTGACACCATTTCCTATGAGGCTTCAGTGAACATTGGTGGATGAATGAGCAGAAGAGGGAGATTGATCTCGCATGTCCTGTGTCAGGTCTTTGCTGGATTGTGTCCTATTTCTTATGGACATCACATTTAGATACTGCTCATTTGCTTTTTTTATGCCTGCGCCTTGCCACAGTTTCAGTTTATAGGTGTTTGGGAAAAACCTCGTTGGCGCAAAAATACCATTTTATGCCTGTAAACTGAGTTATCTTTTTTGTTGATTTTGAACCAAAACTGGTTCATTATGCTCGAATGATTCACAGGCTGGCAATAGGTGGCTTAGCAAACAAACCAACAAGCAAACGAAAAAGACATTCCTGTGAAAATCATCAGGTAC